AGTTAGCACTAATCAAAAGAAAACTGGCATAGCTAGTTGATAACAGATACAGTGGAGGACAAAGCAATAGTACCCAATTAACATGTTGCTGCAAATGACGGTAATACACCGGAGAGAAAAAAATTTTTTTTCTAAGCACGGTCACCACTGTAAAAGTGTGCGGCAACATGTTAATAATATTTATTTGGGTATATAGTTTACATATGGGAGTAATGACATCACTTTAAGGACTGAGATATGCCTTATTCAGGCCATGGTCTTTTCACTCACTTTCTATGCATCTGAGAACTGGATAGTGAATAAAGATAACAAAAGAATTATTGATGCCCTTGAACTGTGGTGTTGGAGAAGAATACTGAATATCTCATCAACTGCCAAAAGACCAGACAGATATGTCTTGGAGAAAATGCATCCAGAGTGCTTCTTGGAGACAAAGAGAACAACACCTCATCTCCCATGCATTGGGCATGTTGCTAGGAGAGGCTAGTCCTTGGAGAGGGACAGCATGCCTGGAAAGGTGGAGAGCAGTGAAAGAGACCCTCAACCAGATAAAATGACACACTGACAGCCACAGTGGGCTTTCATGTGTCAGAGATTGTGAGGATGACACAGGATAAGACCAGGTTCAGATCTGTTGTTCACAGGGTCACTGTGGTTTGTACTCGACGACATTTATCAACATCAATATAATAATAATATTATATATTGGGTATATATGCCCAAGTAAATATATTTATTTGGGTAATTAATATTACTCAAAATAAGATGGATCATTTCATTATGATAGGGGTCAGCTCACAAGAGGATATACAACACTCTTAATAATGAATATAATAATAATGAATTTTAAATACAGGATGCTAAAACTAGCAGAACTGCAAAGAAAAGTAAACAAATCCACAAAATAATGAAAGAATATCTATATGAAAACAAAAATAATTTTGCCATATACAAGATTAACTCCAGATGAGTCATAATTTTAAATATAAAGCTTTCTAAAAGAAAACAAAAGATTGACTTAAATAAAATTCTAGAAAATACAAACTAATATGTTAGGACAAAAAAAAAGAAAAGGTCTGTTCTTGCCAGGATATCAGATGGGGCCCTCTCTGGTGGCATAGGATGTTACATGTTTGACTGTTTGACTGTTGGCCGCAAAGTCAGCAGTTCAGATCCAGCAGTTGCTCTTTAGAAGGATGGATGCTCAAAGCTTCACTCAGAGAGTGTCACTGTGAGTTGGAATTGCTCCAGGGACAGCAGGTTTGAATTTTTGGTCTCATTTTTTTACCTTAGTAATGCTCTATTTAAAAATAAAACCAAAGTCCTGGCCCTTGTGGGACTTATATTTTTTCGGGTGGCTAAGAAAACAGCCGGGGGTGGGAGGAGAAAACAGCTTGGCCACAGTAGTCAAATATACATTTATTTTACGTACATGAGAGTGTACATGCATGTTTGTGTCACATATTGAAAAGGTTTGTGAAAGAGAGCAAAGGATAGAAAGTGATGGAAAGGTGACTGGTCAGGAGACCCCTGTGCAACACCATTACCCGCAAACAAAGGCCGCTTGAAGCTCCTGTGTGATCTTTTGAAAACTGTCCTAAATTTTATTTCATTTTGTCTTAAGTTACTGGCGAGCATACTTTCCTGCTCATGATGTAAGAGAACATCAGCTTTACCCTGAGCCACAGAAAGGCACGTTTTCTCTTTCCTTAAATTTGCAAGAAAATACCTAATAAGCGTGACTTGGAGAGATGCAGAAGCTGTTGAGATGTCCACTATGAGTGCTCTTCTGAGAAAGCATTCCTCATAGTAAATGTTTTGAGTGGAAGCCTGAAGATGTCGTGAGTGTAGCATGTGGGGTCAGGAGGAGAATTAATGGCACCAGCTCACTCACTCAACTTCCTGCCAGTGGGCATTTACCAGCCAAATTTCTGGGGGAAAACCAGCCCTGATCCCGTGCACACAGTGGCCATGGGTTCCTGTGTGCACACGTGTAGGGCCAGACGGCATGCGCATGTCCCCAAGGGTAGATGGAGCTCCTGGCAGGGGTCTGGTCATCCTAAGGAAGCATCAAGAAAAGTGTATAAAGGGCTTCCCTGGCAGAGAGGAATGTCCTCCAGGTGAGGAGTTTTGGGGGTGCCAGGGGGACCTTACATTGCTCTGTAGTGTCCATCACTAACTAGCTGCTCCATGGACCTTGAATTTGGTTTCATTCTCCCAAAAACACTTGACTCTGAGAAGAATGGGAATCCCAGAACACTTGATCGTTCTAATGCGAAACTTATACTTGGACCAGGAGGCAGTCGTCAGAACAGAGCAAGG